TTAAACCGTGAAATATTCGATACATTTTATTGTGCTATTGATAAAATAAATTTTGGGCATTTTATCAATTGAAATATCTCACTTTTATATTTAGATTAGAATAGTGTACAACAGCCTTAATGTGCACTGAGTGCGCACCAGTGCAATCAGTGAAATACGCTATCAGTTTTCTTCTATCCCTCAGATTGTATCCCAATTCCACGTCTTCTCTTTCTTCACATGATGCAAATTCTTCATTTGAGCTTTCATCATCTTTCTGTTCGTTGTCGTTTTGCCCTTCATCATCTTGTTTCTTAAACACATTTTCTGTTTCGTCTTCTTCATCTTCTTCTTTATTTTCCAAAAGTACAGCGGTGTTTATTTTTTTCTCTACTTCGCCTCTTTCTTGTAAGAAAATTATATCTTTTAAAACTTCACTCTTCCTATTGTTACGTCCGGTGGACTCCACGATTTCTTCGTTTCGCGACCGTTCAATCAACGAAGTAAGATATGAACAAATCCAAGTGATAACACAAATTCGAGAGAAGTTTCCAGCCACAAAATCTTGTTTGAGCCACAAAATCTTGTTCTCTAAAATCGAGAGACCCGCAATAAAAACTCTCTCATAGTGCCGATAATCAAACGTTAAATCTCCTTTCGAGCATCGTGGAAAATGAAAGTCAATATCAAATAATCACCAAATAGCGTTGGTCACCAAGGCGCTAAGCCAGGTCACGAAATGATTGCCTAGAATCGAAAGATAAAAAACTCTTTCGTAGCATTGACTATCAAACCTCTTTTTGAGCATCGTGGAAAACGAAAATCAACATCAAACAGCGTTGGTACCAAGGCTAAGCCAAGCTACGAAATAATCCCCGCGATAATAAGAGTGATAGCGCGGACCGACGCTCGAAAGAAGATGAAATGTTTAACCATCTCACACTGATATCACGTGGGCCCAACGATAATGGTCCCACGCTTAGGCTTAAGATAGGGTTATAAATCTAGTAATGACATTTTCCGACACTGAGAAAAATCAACACGAACCGCGATTCTCGATTAACTAATCCAGAGATATCTATCCATCGTTCAACGTGAGAACGAATAAAAAATGACATAGCGGGCGGAACTAACCGGAAGGCAATTTTCCAACGACGAATAAAAATTGTATCACCTTAGAATCCCGTAAACCTGATTCCCTAATTTCCCAATTAGACACACCCTATCATGGAACCTCCCCCTAAACTATCCCTATATAAACCGCGACATCGCGAGACACAAGACAGAAAAAATAGAGGAGAGAAAAAATAGAGGAGAGAAAAAAATAGAGAAGAGAAAAAATAGAGAGGAGAAAAATAGAGAGCAGAGGAAAATAGGAAAGTCAGAGAGATAGAAATTCAGAAAGTCAGTCAGAAAGATAGAAAAAGTTTTTCTTTAAACTCAGTGCGTACATTTTCAAACATACTAAAAACATTAAAATCAGTGCGCCGTTGGAGAGGCCAAACCGAGACTAAAGGACCGAGGGCTAAACATCCAGTCTCACCGCTCTGCCAAACAACAGTAAGTTCCCCCCTTTTCTTTTCTCTTTTGCTATTTCGCGAATTTTCATAAAAATCGATCCGCAGTGAGTTTTCGGGGAAACCGCTCCCGCTCTTACCGAGGTTGGCGCCGAAGTCGGGCCTACCTCGAGGCACGAGAACTCCTGGACGCAGCGTTCCAGGAGTACCTTAGAGACTTTCCTAGAGTCGAGGACGCGCCTCAACCGTCCTACTCACCACTACCGGCTCTGCCGGCCTCTCCACCTCAACAACAACCAAACATAGAAAACATAGAGGCAATACCTCCTTCACCTCCCCCGCGATCTCCGTCACCCGCGTTCTCAGACGCTTTGACAGAGCGCATTTTCCCGGATACCCCACCGCCCACTCCTGACTCTTTCCTCCAATCCGCTCCCTCATCGCCTCGTCCATACTCTCCTGCGAATTCCACGTCAAGCGTGGAGTTCTTGGAAGAATTTCCCGTTCCTCCCCCTAGACTCACCCGACGGTACATCCAACCGGGTGACTCTTTCGACTCAGTGATTAGCCGCTTCCCTCGTACCACCAACCTTCTCCCGCCGGGCACTTACACGATCGGCCCGAATTACATTGATCCCGAAGAAATCCGCGCTGCCATAACCGGACAACCTCCCGATGTACACATAGTAGTGTACATTCCTTCTTCCCCCTTCCCGTATGTAGTCCCCATTGCCTTCTTTAACGACACCTTTCCTCCTTCCTCCGTTATAATTAATGAAATTATTTAACATGTATTGCCTCTCCGACAATATACACATACACACCTCAAACTCAATAGCGCACAATTAATCAACTATTGTACAAACATACCATTAACCATGTCGACTTGCAAAGTTTTTCGATGTAAATCTAATGATTATTGTTAACTTAATTTACGAAATATATGTAACCTCAGCTATTATGTTTTTATGTAATTATAAAACTTATGCGAAATTTAAGCGAACCTAATGATAACCTGTAACTTAATTCGATTACAAAATATGTGTAAATTCAAAACTTATGCTTAATTTAACTATAAAATTTGTGGAAACCCGACAATTATGTATACTTTAATTTAATTATAAACTTTAAGATTATGAAATTTATACAAATAACTATCACATTCTTTTGTAGTTTACTTTAGTAATAAAACGAAATTCGATTTAAAATGATTTCCTTCAGTTAAATTTTAAATTCAAAAGACCTCGTACTCTCGCCGTTTCCCAGGGATCCCACCTGGTCCACTCCCGAGTTATAAAGATTTATTTCTTTGACTCAAAATTGGACCGACGTACGCACTGCTCAAGGAAATAGGACG